TACAGCATGAATAGTTTAAAGTATGACGATTTGGAAACTATCTTTCCACTTAATCTAGTTGATTTAACTAGATGTTAGGTATACTTGCTTTACATTGACATATTTTAAATCACTATCATCAAGAATAAGTGGACTTTATTTATGTTGAATTTGATAGAACTCGAATTTCATGACAGTTGCACTTAACACTTATACCTGATTTGATTGATTATTATACATATAGTTGACTTTATACCAGCCATATTTCTTTTTCTTACACTTTCTGTAGGTATTGTGTTGAAAATGAAAGACAGTTCACCATCAAACCCCCTTTGTGTATTCAAAAACAATTTGTTCTCATCTTAAACCTATCCTGGTAATATTGGCTTATTATATGGAGTGATTAGGTTTCAAGTTGTGTCCACATTATTATTATTACTTTTATTATCAGAATGTGTTTTGTGGAGATTTTTTTTAGAAATTTTCACAGATTGAAATCATGAGTCAGTTGAAGCTAGATCACCATTGAAAACCTGGAAGCACTTGACGGCCGTTTCGTCTTAGTATTGGAATCCTCAGCAGTGCGCATCCACGATCCCGCACCACGCGGGGCTCGAACCCAGGACCTGCTGGCTTCGAGCGCAAGCACTAGACCACTGAGCCGGCATCCAACGCTGTTAATGTCTAACTTCAACCAATTTACGAAGTTGCACCACCGTACACCATTGTCTTCAGTGAGTTCCTATCTCACAACAGACCTGGTTGAACTCCACTGGTGGCAGCTTCTCACTAGAACTTCGGGAGTTTTTCCTGAAGTCAGCCACTAGTGGGCAGTGCTGAGGAGTCCCATGCTAGGACGAAACGGCCGTCCAGTGCTTCCAGGTTTTCACTTGTGATCTAGCTTCAACTGACTCATGATTTCAATCTGCGAAATTTCTAAAAATCTCCACAAAAATCCATTCTGATTATTACTTTTATTATTAACCTTGTCTCTTACTCCATTTCCAGTCTAGTTGACCTTTTATTTTTATATATAAATATTCTTAACAAGTATACATGTAATCAGATTTTTCGAAATGTATTGCGCCAATATATCACATCGTTCTAATAACCATTGTCTTCTTATTACATTATCGAAATTTATCAAAGGGACTAATTGTTTTAAGATTCAATATATTTGGATTTCATTATTTTATTATAAATCTTAAGTTAGTTTAATCCTGTGTTGCTTATTTATACCTTAATGATAAGAAATTAAGTATTTTAACTCTTTATCAGCTCATAATAGACAGTACATAGAAAGCATATTAAAATAAATTCACTTTTAAAACTGTCCATAGGCTTAAACTTGTAACAATCAGGATAAATGTAAATAGTACGTTAAAGAGAGGGTTAACATTTTAGTTCAACTTTAATACGATGGTATCGATTGTCAAATAACTAATCAATTTTTTTTTAATTTGGTAAACATAATTCATATACCAATGTTATGTTAGTTACTAACCTGTGTATTTGATCTGTATCCCTCATAATTATATTTTTGTTATGAATAATCAGACTTGTAGAAATATATGAAGAAAGAAAGAGATAGACAACGGTATGCTGAATATAAAACATTGAATAAATTTGTGTGCTAAATCTGTTCTAGAATTAGGAAATACCATTGACTAACTGTCATGTTGACTACTTTTATTAAAACTATTGTAAGCGCTATTATTACAAGGTAAAAGTTATTGATTAGATTGATTGAATGATTGATCGATTGATTGATTGATTGATGCAATCCATTAAAATGTATGTATTCGGCAAATGAAAGATTAAGAATTTTATATGATGCAATAAGTATATAAAATGAGATCAGGTTTTCATGTTACAGTGTTTACAGCACATTATCTATAGACATCAATAGTGTTAAACATTCGTTGTAGAAGTAAAATAATATAGCAGATGGTTGTATATGATGTTTCAAATTATTTGAATTATAGCACGAACTAAGAGTCCAAGAAATAACGCAATCGAATTAAGAAGACACAATCACAAACGAATGTACCGTAGTTGGAATTCGAAATCGTTCAATCAACAAGTACAAAGGTATCATTAGTCAATTCAAACACCACATTGTAGTATATTATATTTAAACATAACGTTTCTGTAATATGTACAGATTAATTTATGAAACTGATGATTAATAAACTGTAATGTAATATCGAACATTAAGAGATATTTTAAATAGTTTTATTTTGTAAGAAACTTATTTACTACTAGATCAGATAGAAAGTGAAAACATCAAATGAAATATGAACTTCTGACAGTTGTAAAACTATTGACAAGTGCGTTTAGTAATTTAGAAATCTACTAATGACAGAATTGAGATCAAAAGTCTGTTTTATTATTATCGTAAACTCTTTTTCGTGATTTCCTGTTAACATCATTCTTTAAAACTTATTTCTGATTCTGGTGAATATTTGGAAATTAAACTGGATTCAAGTCTCGTAACACGAATAACAACAGTTTCTTATTTAAGAGATTACTCATATAGGGGATGACTGTGCTACTAAAGTTGAATGTATGCAATATTGAATTTCAATTAAATGATGTTAGTCATGTTACAAGACCTAAAGTTCGAACGGAGTTCTTGTGGAATTTCAAACTATAAATGAAGAACTGCTTATTATTACCTCATTTTCAAAGGTTTTCAACTAATGCCACTCTGTGATGGACACTACCTTCAAGTCATCTATCTAAGCAAACCTTATAAAATTAAATCATTTTGAAAATTCCCAAACTATGAATTAGAGCAACATATACAAGCGAGCAATATTATTTACAACCAAATCCTCATCAGGCTTTATTGTAATATACGGTAATATTCACATGCATATACGAATTTGTCAAGGCAGTTTGCGTGTCGGTGATAGCAATGGAACAGATTACATAAATAAACAACAAATAAAGAGCACAAACTGATAGCACGATGACAGGTGTACTAGTTGCGATAAGAATAACAAACGCTTGTGAACAGGAACGGATGGTGGCTAGCTATGGAATCCAGGAGGCGCATTTCGTCCTGCTTGGGACTCATAATTTGGGTGTGCCTGTATCCCAGATTTGATAAGAAGTAGGTCAATAAATTGGAAAATAAACACTGAATTAACATTTGTTTAAATTATTGAAGTAATAGGAAGTATTCAGACAATTCGTCAGTGAAATGTGTATTTGAAACTACATCTCTCATTATAATGAGTTTATTTATAAATAATTTCAAGATTAGAGGGAATCACATCCAAAAATAAGAGTAATATTCGAGCCAATTTTGAGTGATTACACAACATTATACTCTATCCTTTCAAACTATTATTCGATAAGTTTTGTTACATTTAGATATATAATTAATCAATATTCTTTAGTCGGTTCTGGTTCTTATTGATTCACCATAGTTAATCTACTTTCAGAAAATTAATCCGATTTTGCATTTCTCCTTTTAGGCTATACTTTTATTATGTAGTGGCTAGTAGTAAACCCTTTTTATTCATACAGAAGTAAACGGAGAGGTGTATAAATTGAAAGCTTAGGATGAACGCTATACCCACAGAAAAATCCATATACTAATCAACATAGCTATCAAGAAATGTCGTACTTTTTAAACACTCAACCAAAACTATCCTAAAATTACTTTTTGTATCATAATTTCGAAAATTATAAATACCTGAATCTGAAGCTCTAAAACTCATATCTTTAGTAGGTGATTTTCTATATCTTAGCATTTCACATTGTATCATTGGATTAGAGATTTCTTGTGATAAAAGTATTGCGTACTACTGCTAAGAGTTTTTTCTATCAATTCATCTGGTTTATGTATATTTACATGGTACAATAATTAAAATGTAACTTAAAAAGAGCTAATTCTATTAGCTTACCTTTAGGATGTTAGTTCAAGTGAATATAATACTACGATTTAATTCATTAAAGCTAATTTCCACAACCTATTTTATGTTTTCATAAATATGAGTTCACAAGAAAATATGAATTATAAGACATATTGACGATTGAGTAACATTTAAAATAGGTCTACCTTTATTAGAGTTGATTAAGATTCTATTGATCAATGTAAGTTAATTTATCGGGTTAAACGAAGAAAAAAAAATTGATTTAGAATGTTTACAATGATAGTTTCTAAAAATGATGTTATCATCGATAAGTTACTATTGAGATATATATTAAAGAAGGGGTTTGTGGAGATTTTAGAAATTTTCACAGATTGAAATCATGAGTCAATTGTAGCTAGATCACCATGGAAAACCTGGAAGCACTGGACGGCCGTTTCGTCCTAGTATGGGACGCCTCAGCAGTGCGCATCCACGATCCCGCATCACGCGGGGCTCGAAGCCAGGACCTAGTGGCTTCGCGCGCGAGCACTTAACCACTAGACCACTGAGCCGGCATCCAACGGTGTTAATGTCTAACTTCAACCAATCCACTATTATTATTATTATTATTATTATTATTATTATTATTATTATTACTAAGCTGTTTAATTCTCTTCATTATGAATAATGAATGTAAATAACTTGAAAACTGTAAATTGTAATCACAGCAAACAGTTTACATTAATAGAAATAAAATGTAACAAACTCTTTATTTATAACACATTTTTTTCATTAAAATAATCGATAAATTTCACCCCCACTCTAACTTCTAGTTTTACTAATATTTGTCATGGTTTCTCTTGATTAGTATTCTCTAACAATGTTGCTATTTTTAAAATAATCTAATTACATAATGAGGTAAACAGGCAAATATTACATTCTGTTTATAAATAAAAAAATTAACAAATTCCCATTGGGAAAAAAAAAGCTGTGATAGTTTGTTTGAATAATGATTTTTGTCTACATTTGAAATAAGTATCCATCTCTAATCGGTGTCATTACAATGACTAATAGGAAGTAGGGATTAGTAAGAGTAATAGTGATGGTAAAAAATAATCATAGATTGTTTTCATTTTGAAATAATTCGTTTGTTTTTCATTCAGTAGGACAATTGACACAATATAAATAAATTGGTCCATCTGGTGAAATAATATTCCCTTGTTTTGGATCATAATAAACATGTATTAAATCTTTCGGATTTAAACCAGACTCTAATCCTTCACAATAAGGTGCCATAAAACGTTTCAATCGATATGGTCCTATGTTATCATTTGAAATCCATTGAATTTCTCGACATGGTTTTTGTGATGGTGATATATTACATGGTGCATTAATAGTATCACAGTCATGATGGTGAACATCATAGTTATTGACAGCATCATTGTAATTATTTTCAGTAGTAGTATAAGAAGTAGCAGTAGTATTATTAGCAGGAACAGTCACATTAGTAGTTATATGATCAGGTGAAATTGGTGCTGTTGATATATGATTAAGTGAAGAATGTCTTTCAATTTTGATTGTCGTTTCTTTTATATATGTTTCAGGATTATTACATGATACTGGTTGTATACTAGGCTCATGATTAATTTCTATTGATTTTCCTACAGAAACTGGCTTTTTTAAATCGGGTGATAATGAAATTTCAACTATGTTAACAGTAGGTCCAACAATTGGAACATTAAAACTTCTTTCTGATTGTGTATATCGATTTCCACAAAGTGTAGTTAAAGTTTTCACTAATTGTTCACGATCTGAACCACTTTTTGTACATAGTATAACATATTGTTTTTCAGATTCATATAAACGTGAAGCTATACCCAAAGCTAATAGATTAGGTGTTGAATAAAATTTTACTAAACAATTAATTTCATTTAAATGAATACCATTCAATATGGAATTAGGCCACCAATAAGCACCAGATAACCATAATTCATCATTTGTTATATGTAATCGACACCATTTTGAAGATTTATGTTTATTTTTTAATTGTTCACCATGTCGTTTAATTAATGTTTGTGAACTGAATTCATCATCTGGATCTAATTTTACATATTTTTTAATCATTACACTTGTTGATGCAACTTCTTTTCCTTGACCATTACGCATAGTGTTTTTTGTTTTCTTGATTTCTTTATCGAAACTATTATTGTATGTCGAATAATATTAAAATAAATTTTATGATAAAATAACAAGAACTATCAATTTAATTGAATAAATAAACTCACTAGTTTATTGATTATTGGTTGTTGTACACTTGACGAATTATTGTTATGCCTTTCGACTAGTAACAGTAATGATAATAATAATAATAATAATAATAATAATAATAATAATAATAATAATAATCCACACTATACTTGTATTACTCGAGAAAGAAATAATTGAAGTAACTAACCCGAACTATCGGATTTTGAGTAGACCCACCGTAAAAAAAAAACAAGACCCAATAAAGTGCGAACGAATCGAAAAGTGTTGAAAACGAAGAAAACAACAAACGAATTAACAACAACAACAACAAAACAATCATTATACTGGTATAATTAATGTGTGTTTCTATTTGTGTATTAGTATATAATTTGTAATCATTCGAATGGACAAAAGAAAAAAATTGGTATATTTGACCTAGAAGATAAAATACCAATCATCAATTTTATAAATCATGTGGTTTAAGTGAATAGTAGTAATCATGACATAATGAATCATTCGAAAATGAATTTCGTCAGCAACAAAGATACACTAAATAGAGAACCTCTCTCTAGACTGTTGTCATCTAAGCTCAGCATGAATTATGAAGTTTTGTTTAAATGTAAAATGGATTGATGGCACTTATAAAACATATATATATATATATATATATATATATATATATATATATATATATATATATATATATATATATATATATATATATATATATACTTGTATTTTCATGCTCAAGTTGAACTGAAAATTTGAAACCTTTGAATAAAGATGTTTAGAGTGTTATGCGGTGATTAGAAATGAGTTTAAGAATTGTTTAAACTATAATTTGGAAATCTATAGCAATCCATAGCAGTTTAATAAGAACATATTATTTATTGAAATGAAAATTTGATGACATTGATGACATCTTGGAATTATACTGATGGATATCTCATGACCTCTTTCTTTATCTTGGATATAATGATAATTTCAGAGTACAAGACGTTGAAAGTTTCTGAGTATTTACTGTTGACGAAGTATCTTCATTGAATTAATAGATTTAATAACCAAAATAAACAAAATACTAAGAAACAGTTTAAACAATAGTGTGAAATCATTATAAGTAGGTTAATTACATACTTACCGACACCTGTTGTTCTGGGTTCTCCTTTCTACCTAGTATATCTGCCTTGAAAACTTTCTTCAATGTGTTCTCTGATCTACTTCTTTCTCTTTCGTCTTTAAAATTCCAAATTAAAATTTGTATTATGATCCAGGTTGATGATTTTCACATAGTGTATTCTATCTAACAACAGCGTCTTTTCTCAATTTCCTCCTCAGATAGAAGCTGATTTGTTCTCTGTCACAGTGGGTTATTGCTGATGGTCTCTGGCCAATAGATTTGGGGTATATTGCCTAAACAGTTGTTGATGAATAGCTGTACCTTCTTGGTGATGTTAATAGTAGTCCTCCAAGTTTCAGCTCCGTACAAAATTGGTGTTGTAAATTCTGATTTTGTTTATGGATAACACTTCTGTTAAGTTTCAATCATTCCTAAACTGTAGAAATGCTGCTCTCACTTTGCCAACTTATGCCTTCACATCTGTATAATATCCTCCTTGTTTATCAACAATACTGACCAGGTACGTAGGTTCTCTGAGAATATTTATCTCTCTGGAACAACCGTGATGATGTAAAGACTTAGAAGCTATTATATAGCTTAACTATTATATGTAATATTCACTAAAGAAACTTACACCCCCCACATTGTTTGAATCTAATCTATACTTAATGATGTAAGTACTACTTCGTGCAGTCATATCACAGATGATCCTATATATCGACCCAAAGGATTTGGATGAACTAATATTTCTAGATAAGAAAGATATTGTCAAGTTATGAAATCATCCAAATATTATAATAAAAAATTTGGAGAGAGGCTATTTAGAGTTAGCATGTTACCTTTGTGTTTTACTTAGTACAAATATCATTTTGATCTACAGATGAAATATTTACATCAATACTTGCATTTTGAATAAAAAATTTCAGCTGAAATTGTGTCTTAAAGCAGATTTGTATCAAAAGGTTTTCACATGTTAGTCATTCTTTTTTCTACAGTAAGGCTTTGTAATGTAGTCATCAGAATAATGACGCATACCAAAACGAGTAATTATTCATTGGATATTCAACATTCTTATCAATCAGTTAGTCAGTAACAACGTAGAACTTCGTACGTACGTACATCAGTTCGAGTTGCCATACCACATTACAACAGAGATGCAGTGGTCGATTCAAATCCCGTAGTGGTAGAGGTAGCAAGAGTATAAGCAGTAATCGGGAAGATTAGGGTTTGGAGATGTTATTTAACGCGTATAATCCAGTGAAATAAATTTGGAAAGAGGAAAAAAAGGGACATGAAGAATTCAGAAGATTAGAATTTGGGAGAACATAGAGAGTGGATGCACCTGCGCCATTGCAAACGATTTTGAGCCATGTCATTCAGGGTCTCTAACCATCGGTTGCTATCATCTCGCAGTCCCCAACCAGGTAATCTACACCTACCAACATGTCTCAGACCACTTGTCAGTGACTACATGGACTTGAACCATGTTTTGGTCTGGCCGCCCTTAGCTTTCTTCCAACCTACTCCTATACCATTGAACATCGCACGTCGAGGCATTCGGTGGTTGGGCATACGTAACACGTGTCCCAGCCATCTCAACTGATGAAGTTTCACTACTTCATCAATTGATTTGCCATCCTTACCTAATACCCGTTTCCTAACAGCTGCGTTACTTACTCGGTGGTCCCAGGATATACGAGCAATACTTCGAAGACACCTATGATCAAATACTAGTAACCTACGAATATCCTCTACTCTTACCGGCCATGTTTCACTTCCATAAAGTAGGACGGAACGAACTGCTGCGCAGTAAACACGTCCTTTGGTTGGTGGACGGATATCTCGCCTACGCCATAAATGACGCAAGTTGGCAAAAGCTAGTCGAGCCTTCTGTATCCGTGCTGAGATTTCGTCACACACCAAACCACAAGGGCTGATGAGACTTCCAAGATAAGTGAAGCGGTCGACACACTCAACTACTTCACTCCCTATCACTAGTTCGGGTGTCGATGTAACCCAATCCTGAAGCAACATTTTGCATTTCGAGGGAGAGAATCGCATCCCGAACATGCTTGCATTGTTGCTTAGAGTGGTCAGAAGACAACATTCTTATCTCCTACAATGAATTAGTTGACTATTCTTTGTGGACTTGGGCTCTTTGAAGCCTTAGTTGATCCATGATCTCTACACAATTAGGAGTTAGTTATGAAATATTTAAGACAGCTAGATCATGTTAAATATTAATTCCATACTTTTTGTTAACTGGAAGCATGATGAATTGATGTTGCATAATACTGGTAAACTATTATTTGTAATACCCACTTAAAATAATTATCTGATGTAACATACTCAAGTCTACTTTCTTGAGTATTATAGTAATCAACATAATGACTTCATTCAACTCACTCTATTAATGAATATGTTAATTCATCAATGAATGACTTTTTCCTTCTTATAATTAAAACTGCTCTATATTAAACAGCTTAGTTAACTTTCTAGGTAGCCACCACAAGTATATGTTGTTTTTGTACTGAACAATAAAGATAAATGTGGAAAATAAAATTTAGAGCTTCACACAATTCTAAATAAAAATCAATGGATTTGGATTTGCAAACATAAAAACAAAATATAGTCCTTTATTATATTCCATTCCCTTCACAAGTGTATAATAATTTCAAGTAGGTGGAAACAATCGGGTATAAACTCTGGATTTAAGATTAGTGTTAGTTGACATTTGTCACAAACTATAACACAGTGATATAAATACGATCTCCACAAGAACAGTAATCTCCTGAATACTGTAGACAACTTTTATTGATTCATTTCACTCGATACGAAACCTGAGTTCATAGTACCCTGTAGAACACCTCCGACCACCTGACGTTAGCCAAAATGCATTGTAATATATCAATTCATTTAAACTCTTGGTTATATTATGAATTAATTGGTAGAATTCTATCATTACCAAGGACTAGACACATGAAAGTGGTTACTTCTACATAGTCATTGAGTGTTTGTCGATAGTTTAACAAACTGGTCAAATAATAGGACTTCATAACAATTTCGTTGTAAATTTGCACTGATAAACTTCAGTTATACGTTTTTTCTTTTATAAATGAAAATAAAAATCGCTCCACCATCCACTATTGTCTTCAGTGAGTTACTATTGTAATGAATAAAAGCACGAGTGTAGACAACTGAATGTATCCAAACACAAAATTACAGAATATATCACTGAAATCTGAGAACCATACAGTAAAACTTTAATTTGCAAAATATCAATCTATTATCTCAAACTTGACTGTTTCTTTTGCAAATATCAATCCATCGTCTCAGATTTCATTGTTTCTACATTTTCATACAAATCGTTTTCCGTTTTCATTCTTTCCTTCTCAATCTTCTACTCAAATACACCCTATTCCTGACTATCGTTATATACTCCTTATGTGTATATAGGTAACACACATCACACTATTTTATAACAGACCTAGTTGAATTCCATTGGTTACAGCTTCTCATTAGGACAAAACAACTGTCTAATGCTTCCAAGTATTCCATGGTAGTCTAGCTTTAATTGACTCATAAATTCAACTATTAACTTACTAAAAATCTCCACAAAACTTCTTTCTGAGGAAACAAAATTGTTTATCTTTTTTTTCAAAGCAAGGTAGATAAATAGGTAGACAGGTAGATAAGTGTAAACCATTGAAATTATTAATTAAAATATATCTAATATATATCAGTTTAAAATAAATACCGTTGGATGCTGGCTCAGTGGTCAAATGGTTAAGTGCTCGCGCGC